CTTTGGATTTGACTAAAGCAAATGACCTTTAATTCAAATATTGCACTTCATTTATGTCACTATCTAATTATTATCTTTTTATCTGTACAAGATCGGTGGTTCGAGTGACGTTGAAGTGAACGAGAAAAAAGACAGAGTGAATGACGCTTTAAATGCTACTAAGGCTGCGGTAGAAGAAGGAATTGTGCCCGGTGGAGGTGTAGCGTTACTCAGATGCATGCCATTGCTAGATTCAATTGAGGTTAAAAATGATGATCAGAAAGCAGGTAAGAGACAGCAAAAACATGAATTTTTAGCTGGCAATACATATATATACTTACATAGCACAATGCTCTCAAACAGTAATGGGAGAGCTATTATATGTACCCTGCACAGAGACTTGTACCTGCACTCCACGAGAGCTGTGATTCCGGTCGCATGTAAACGCTTGTTGCGGTACAATATCCGCCATGCTTTCCTGTGTACGAGTTGACCTGATAGGTCAATTTGTTAATTAACCAATCAAAATGCTGGATGATGCCAACGTGAACATGCCAATGTATGAACGCAACACAGAAGAGATTTGCCGAAGTTTGCCATCTTTTGGCTTTGATTTTGATGGGGAAACAGCATGGTTTTTTTTAAAAATAAACTGAGCATTTAAAGAATAATTTAACATTGTAGATTGCTTTGAGTTCACATAAATTTTACAGGTAAAACAACGAGGGGAAAAAAAACACTAGTCCTTCGGACTTCCACCCATGCACTTTTGCTGGTTCTGTATGAACCGGGGGAGGGGGGGGGATTTGTTTGTTAAATTTGTAAAATCTGCAAAATTGCGGGTTATCAAAATATGAAGAAATTAATAAAATCCATAATGATATTTTTTTCTACAACGGCATTTCAAAACTAAAGTCAGCGATTTTTCATTGATCTATCTATTATTTGTGTAACGCTATGATCACCGTAACATTGTCAGCTGACGGCATTGCGTTGAACGGGTATTCACCGCTGCTGTTGCGATCATCGGTCCCTGACTTTTTTGTTTAAAAATACACAAACTTAGAATGTTTGCTTAATTAAAACGATTCATTGATGATTAACTTAAATATTACATCAAAATCGCCAACGAAATGTTGTTTTTAAACATCGCGGAAAAACATGCACTCTGCGCCGCCATCTTTGTTGCCTCAATCAAAATCTCCGTTGTAACCCAGCATGCATCGGTTGTGACGTCACTACATGCGTTACGTCGCCTTAGGGTGGTGTTCCTCGGTAATGACGCACTATGAATGAGGTATTTCTAGAGGTCAGGGTTCGTCTTTTCCTCGTCCGTCTTGTTTGCAGTTGAATAATTTTTACTTCGATTTATTTACAGTTTTTTTTTTCCAATGCGACTTAATTTCACTTGTTTCTTTAATTCTTGGTAATTAGTGTCACTGGCGATGAAGTAGTAAAAATGCAATTAACCGTAGTGCAGCAACTCGGGATAGACCATCCCGACGCAATGGGCAAATTATTACTACCCTAGTATTTTGAGTTTGCCAGCTCCGCACCCTTGATAGACTTTGTAACTTCTTGTAGACTTCAGTTTTTAACACTGTTTTTGTAAGGCTAACTATGTACAAAGGCGGGATTACCTTTCAATCAATACATGTTATTGTTTTAATGATGTGCTAGACGAGGCTGACACTTGTAAACAATACAACGTGAATAAGCATCGCGGGCAGGATTTCAAGGATCGCGGGCGAAACAAAAGCGACGCGGCTGTTTGTCTAAGCGACGCGGGCCAGCAGTGCTTGAAAGGCCTGGGGAGAACACTGGGATGGAGAAGCAGTGCGAGTGTCCGAACCCTGTTACAAGACGAGAAAAATCGTGGATGTTGCGTAATTATGTTTTATCGATATAATGGTTCAGAAGCTTAAATCCTTATTGACGACCCTGTCGCCACCTTTCCTATAGAAATACATGTGGCCGGTTCACTAAAGTAGTATCCTGTTTTATGGCCAGTTTGAAAATCAATGAGCAATGGCAATTCCTTTGTAAATTATTTGTAATAATTAATTCTGCTTATGCCTGTTCAAAAATAACTTTTGTGGCATGATGTTGGTTTTTAAAAAAAAATATCTGGTTATGCTTAAAACACTACATAAAATAGTCCTTGCCAAGCGCATGTAAATTTTTGTGTGGAAACATTTATAACATGTTGCATATTAAACATGATGCTGGATGACAACTGACTTTTTAACTCTGACATAATTTGATATTAGTGTAGAGGATGTGCAACAGTGACTGACATGTGACTGGTGTGATAATGCAACAAACACTGGGATGTGACTGGTGTGATAATGCAACAAATACTGGGATGTGATTGGTGTGATAATGCAACAAACACTGGGATGTGATTGGTGTGATAATGCAATAAACACTGGGATGTGATTGGTGTGATATTGCAATAAACACTGGGATGTGATTAGTGTGTTGTTAATGCAACAAACCTTGTTTTTTCTTGCAGGTGTTGACATCATACGTCGTGCCCTGCGCACACCAGCAACACAGATAGCAGTTAATTCTGGTGTAGAAGGCTCTCTTGTAGTTGAAAAAATTCTGAATTCCTCAGCTGAAATGGGCTATGATGCAATGAAAAATGAATATGTAGATATGGTGAAAGCGGGAATCATAGATCCAACAAAAGTAAGTGAAAGAAAATGCTTTACGGAAAATGTTTGCAACTAAGTATTTTTTGTTTTCATATATTCGATTAACTCATGGGGCTTGTATTGATGTTGGCTCCAAACATGACATCCGGCTAATCGCTAATGCGTGGTTTGTTACAGGTTGTGAGGACGGCTATCGTAGACGCAGCAGGCGTGGCATCACTACTCAGCACATCTGAAGCGGTTGTAACAGAACTTCCTAAAGAAGACAAAGAACCCATGGGAGGCATGGGC